AACCCCAGTTTCAACAGCTCTTCCGGCCGATCCTGTGCCGGATAACGTTACTGGGTATTCACCAAGTTTTGCAGGTGAGGACGTTGCGCGATTGGCTGAGGTTACTGAGGCCGATCCTTCAGATGAAGAAGCAGCTGCATCCAGCAGCCCACATGCACGTGTTCCGGAAGGTGCTGCTCCAAGCGCGCCACCGCACCCTTTAGATGATAAGTTGCTTGTTGAGTTAGGTGATGGTATCCCAATCAAAGATGAAGTCTTGAAAAAGGAAGCCACTAGCTTAGAGCATCTTTTGACTCACTACCCCAAAAATCCATATTGCCCATTATGCCATATTGCTAAGGATACTGCAATGCGCGTCTCTCATGTTAAGGATGGTAAGTCCGATGATAAGATTGACCCACCAAAGCAGCCTTTTGAACAGTTGGCCACTGATGATGTTATCCTTGCAAAAGGGTCTGAACATTTTGGTACGGGGATAGGAGGGGTCAAGACACACCATGTGGTAAGGGACCTTTATTCTGGTGCACGAATAGCATATCCCCTTTCAAAGCGTGATGTTGAATCCCATGCCAAAAACTTTCGACATTTCGTGGGATTGAAAGCCAATGAACTAGCCACCCACACACTTATCAAAATGGACGAAGCACAGGAGTTGGAGCAGGCTGCCCATCAGGTCGGCTTCATTCCTGAGACGTCCCTTCCCAACCGTTGGCCGCATAACGCTCTCCTAGAGCGCGACATCCGGGAAGAGAAAGAGTGCTGTAGGGTAGTTCACTTACAATCTGGTTTGCCTTATGAGTATCACACTTATAGTTACCCATACGCATGTCTTTCCATGACTTTTGATAGACCTTCTATTGCGGATCCTGAGAAGACCCAATGGGAAGCTCTTACACGTGAAAAGTTTGATGGTAAGCGTTTGTGTTTTGGTCAACTTGTGTATTATCGCAAGAAGCATCCAACAAAAAGGACCTTAGAACCTAATATGGCTCCTGGTTTGTTTCTTGGTTGGCGAATCGAATCTGGTTTTCGTTATAGATATGTTGTTCGGATATTAGATTATCAAGAGTTTCGAACTAGAGGTGCTTCATGTGTTTCCGATGTACCCGAGCCTGAACTATACCTTCCAGATGGTGATGCCTATTTTCCCGTTGGTTTTTCGAAGCATCAGGCCTTGGTCAGGGGGGATGATCCCGATGATGTTAAACTCCCTGAAATAGCCCTGCAAAATGTTCCGTTTCCACCAGGCGGCGGTTTAGCTTCCCCATCTACACCCGGTCCCAAACCTAGATCGGTTTATATCACCTTAGACCGCATCATAAAGTTTAAGGAGACTCCCGGTTGTACAGGGTGTAAGAATAAGACTCGGTACCAGAACCCAGAGTGCCGCAAACGGTTCCAGAAACTAGTAGATGAAGAAAAGGAGCTGGAAGCCAAGTCCAAACCTGTCTCAGAGTCGGTAGCTGTTGAACCTCCAAGTGAAGTTCCTAGTGCACTTGAGGATGCCCCCGTGGAACCACCACCGGTGGACAGCATATTTAGTGATGAAGGTGAAATCACTATTGCTGTTCCTTATAGTGTCTCTGGTGCTGCCACTTTGCCCCAGACTGCTCCCAGCTGCGCTGAGTTATGTAGGGATTCCTTGCCAGTGTTCGGTGCACAGCCCGTGCCTGCATGCCCCGCCATTAATCAGCCTCCTAAGAATAACAGCAACCGTCGAAAACGACGTGCCTTGAAGAAAAGCCAGAAGCCCAGTGAAAGATCAACACTGTTTGAGTTTGCATGTTCCCTCAACTCACAGCTTGGGTTGACAAGTGATCAATGCAATATAAATCACATTGGGTTATGCAAGGAAAGGATAGACTTAAGTGATGAGAATCAATGTTCCCAACTTGATTATCAAATAGGTGAAGCCGCAAAAATTGCACCGCCTAACCTTTGGTCGTCCATACCATGCACGTCTGGTTCTCCTTGGCAGTATATCAATAGAAAGAAGGGAGGAGCTGCTTACATGAAAAGATTAGCGCTCCAACTTCGTGAATCGAAACGACTCTTCAAAAGCTTTACCAAAAGGGCTGAATTAGTTTTGAAACTAGGAGGCACTGTTTCTTTCGAATGGCCACGTCCCTCAACTGGCTGGAAGAGACCAGATGTCGTAGCTTTCTTTAATTCACACCCTGAGTTTATGGAAGTTGATTTCGATGGATGTGCAGTAGGTCTTAGATCCAAGAAAGGTGTTCCCATCAAAAAGCCTTGGAGAGTCCGAACCACTTCCCAAAGAATAGTAGATTCGTTTAAAGATAAGAAGTGCAGTTGTGAACAACCACATGAAAAGTGTGAAGGCTCGGAAACAGCGCGATCAGCTATGTATCCCCCAGAGATGACATTTTTGATCACCCAAGCGTTGTACCCTGCCAAGTGTTCTCAACAGCATGCTCCCGCTATGCCATGCACTCCACTTTCAACCGAACCCCAAGAGCATCGCGAAGTTGAACAACATCTTAAACACGTTTCCCCACTAGCTGGTTTTGAGGATCTTGCAGTTGCTATTGAAACAGATCCAACAGTAAACTGTTTAGTGTCGGAGCTTCTTGACCATGAGCGTTTGCTGTCACAGGCCTTCGGGCACGAAGAGAGTAATGAACCCTCCCTAGAGGTTCAAGCCATGGTAACCAAGCTGCTCTCCAGAGCGGAGATGTTGTCAAATCCACAAGCACTTGAGGCAGTCAAAGCTGAAGCTGACGGGCCCATCAAGGCTGGGACGTGGTCGCTCAACTCGGTGAGGGAGAAAGAAGACGTCCGTGCAGAAGCGAAGCGCACCGGAGTCTCTGTCCACTTCGGACAGCTAATGACCATAGCATCCATTAAGTTCTATGAACTCGCACAACATCTTCAGAAGATGAAAGGTAGGATAGTCTACCGTGGGGATTGTGCGAAGGATGGGCACGGTGCCGCTGCTGTGTATCAGGAGCTAGGAGCAAACCCAACTTCGGTCCAAGGTTTAAATGCCTGTTTAGCATACGGTTCCCTGCCAGGCAATAGCTCATCCGCAGCTGATGCTGTGAAGGCATACGTTCAAGCACTCCTGTCTTCCAAATATAAGACATGGATAGAACTTCCGCCTGAGCTAAGGCCAAAACACTGGCGTGATAAGTTTGTTAAACCCGTAGTTCTCCTAGTTAAAGCCTTGTACGGCCATCCTGATGCCGGTGGTCTTTGGGAGCAACACCTTAAGAAAATTATCCGCAACCTAGGTGGCCAAGAGGTACCCGAGTACCCTGGTAACTTCTTTTTCCCAGACACCAAGTTGTTACTATCCACCTATGTAGATGATCTCACACTTGCTGGTCCCACTGACCAACATGATGCCTTTTGGGTGAAGCTGACATCCGTTGTGGATATAGAACCACCTGAACCAATATACCGAATTCTAGGTCGCAATCATCTAGTAATGCCATTGTCCAAAACCGAGGGTTCCGAGGAATGTGCTGCGTTTCGCGCGCAAGAGGCCTTAGTCTTTGACATGCTAGATTATGCACACCAAACAGTTGACCTTTATAAGTCCATCACCAACACCACAAGTTTGAAGCATGCTGCCACTCCTTTTGTACCTGACGGTTCTGTCTCTGTTGAAGATGAAGAGGCTAAAGGTGAACTGGCACCAAATGCATGCCGCATTCTTATGAAGGCGTTGTGGCTTGGTCGGCTGTCCAGACCTGACATCATAAAACCCATCAACGATTTAGCCACTAAAGTGCAGTCTTGGTCCAGGGGGGACGATAAGAGGTTGTTAAGACTCATCCAATATATAGACTCAACACCCCAGTACCGGCTCGTAGGAACCATCAAAGATAATCCCGAAGATCTTGAGCTACGTTTATACGTAGACGCCGACTTCGCCGGTGATCGTCTTAGTGGAAAATCCACATCCGGTGGGTATTTAGTTCTATATGGGCCTAACTCTTTCTTCCCTCTTGCGTGGGTTAGTAAACGCCAAACATCCACATCCCGTTCTACAACAGAATCTGAGGTGGTTTCCTTGGCCTATTCCCTATATCAAGAAGGCCTGCCGGCCCTGCAACTCTGGGAGCTTCTCCTAGGGCGCACCGTGACGCTTAAAGTTTTAGAAGATAACCAAGCTACCATCCTGGTAGTACGTAAAGGTTATTCCCCTAAGCTTAGGCACATCACCCGCACCCATAAGGTAAATTTGTCCGGGCTATCCAAAGTCTTCCGCGAAGACTCAGCCGAGCTTGGGTACTGTCAAACCGACAGCCAGGCTGCGGACATCTTCACCAAGGCCCCAAAAGTGGGCCCCGGCACTGCGCTTGCTTGGCATCCGTGTAGATTTAGGTAGTGAGCTTAGATCCAAGGAAGGGGCAGCTACCTAGCGCCCTAACCTGTGTACTAGTTGCGAGCGTAGGATAGGGTAGGGGGGAGTAGAAATATTACGACCCCTATACCACCACTGTATATACTAGTATTACTCCTCACTGTAACTATGATACCAACCATCTAAGTAGTTGTACAGTTACTTTAATGTAAATATCCCCAAGGTTAAAGCACAACCTAATGGGGTAGTTATAGCCTTGTTCATCCGGGGTTCATTAACGCCCGGTGACGGCATGGCTCAAGTCGCGCACACAAAAGGCGCGCGCATGTATATCTTTGGGGCAGGGGAGATTAACTTGTTTGGTTTTGTGGTTTTTCCCCTGTTTCTCTATCTATCTATATATATATATAGTCTGTACATGGCTGTATGTATCCTGTATGTACGCGCAGATAATTGCGACAATCAGGTGCTTCTACAGGAGTTGATTACGTTGATTACTTGATTCTTCAAGTGTTTTGCAGCCGAGAATTTGTGATAGGTGATCCTTACCAAACTCTCAACAGTCGTCATCATGGAACATGATTCCGAATGATTCCGAATGAGTCCATGATCTTGATGCAGTGACTTATGGGTCAACCACGTTCTCATTCCCATAGCAGTCCTGCAGGTATCGGATGCATCCTTTGCTTTCAGCATTCCCGTCGGAGCAGTTCTATGATGGACAGCTTTCTGATGACAAGACGAAGACTCCTGTGCTTCGGACAAGACATACACAAAATTCTCGGGGGTGCTGCATCGCATCTGTAAACTGTAGATTTTTGATCTGCATTTCTTATGTCATGCTTGCGCAGCTCAGGCCACGAAAGCGAAAGCCTGGGTTTTCAAAGAGCCTCTGGTCGTGGCTCCCGTCTTTACTGCGGAAACTCCCAAAGGGACCAGCCACATGAACGAGGGTGAGGCTCAAACTTTGGCAACTCAGCGCAAAATCGCACTGTCAGAAAGACAATCAGAACGACAGGAACCAGCAAAAACTCGGGCAGAGAATACGGGAGATGCAGAATATCCTGTCATGATGCTGTATCTCGTGATTGCATTTGAGGTAAGCCATGCCTTACGTTATCTGCGAAATGGCGGTAAGGAGGAGAGTCTTGGCATCATCTCACCATACGACTCACAGGCGGGTGGAGTGTGTCCAGGACCGTTGTGTGCAAACCTGGGATCTAAGCTCTAAGACTCTAAGAGCAGATGAATGCAGAGCAGATGAATGCACTTTGTCGAAGCCATTCTTAAGATCTGTGAGGTTGGTTGCAAACAGCATGGGCTGACTCCATTGCATATTTTTTTTGAGGCCATGATCATTATTTGTGATCATCTACGATCATCCATGATTCAGTACATCCGAGTTTGCCAGACAAAGTTGATGCCTTGCAGGTGAAACTCCTGCGTCGGATGCTGCAGAAACAAGGCGTCCGAACAGGTCTCCATGGTGTGGAGGTTAACTCGGTGGACGGCTTTCAAGGCCGTGAGAAGGAGGCGAGGCATAGACCAATACACTTTGTCGCAGGTCACAAAGATTTCACATGTAGAATCTTTGTTCAACCAACCCTTGCACCTTCAATCAAAGTCGGGAGCTGACGGGATACTCCCATGGAGCGTGATCACGTTGCCTGATGTATTTGAGCCAACCTGATTCAACTTGAGACCATCTTATCTTCACTTCCCTCAGCACTTGTGCTTCCTACAACAGTTGCCACTGCAGAATTGCGAAGCAAATTTCTGCAGGTCATGATGATCAGTACAGTCAGATCGAACGTAGAGAATGCCACGGGCTTCGTTCGCGACTGGCGCCGAATCAACGTCGCTATCACCCGTGCAAAGTGGCAGCCCCAATGCTGTTGGACCAATTGAAACGCATTGAAACACATTGGAACGAATGGAAACTTTGGCCAAACATGTGTAGAGGTTTGTGTCGAGGTTTGTGTCGACTACTATTTCGAAGCAAGCCCTGCTGCTGTGAGAGCAAGTGGAATTCGACGCCAGGTCAGGGCTGCTGGTTGTCTGTAACCCACAGACATTGGCGCGAGATCACGTCTCTTGGCTCCTCGGCTTCAAAAAGGTGCCGCGTCGGAGTCGGAGGATTTTCAGGTCCAAGCTGCATTTTCGTTCCGTGGCAATCCGACAGTCTGACAGTTTGACATGTTGGATTCTTGGTTTCTCGGTCAGGTTACCATGGCTGTACTGGTCCAGATGGCGCGGTCTCTGGCTTCTCGCACTGAACATAGAAATACGTAAAAATACCAGGATCGTATTATTCATTCTTGTGTTTGCCAAGAATCGTTGAAGAAGTTCTGGTCAGTCTTTCTCAGGGCAGGGTTGGAAGACTGAAAACCACAATGGCAAAGTCTCAAACAATAACGATAGAATCTGATAGAGTAAGTCCAGTATGAATGGGATTGAACAGGATCGAATAGGTATCAATCAATAGGTATGAAGAGGATTTGGATATATTTGGATCGAGGAATGACCAAGAGACGTTTGGATCATTTTGGATCTACCTGACGGTATTCAATCTGATGTTCAAGACATTTCGCTTTGATTTCCGTAGCATTTGGAATCTCATTCGAGCTCTTCACTGGGTCAGGCTTAACGACGAAGATGTGAAGCTGCCAGAATTGCGGATCGATTCGAAAAGGAAGGCATGCGGACTAAGTTCCCTGCCAACGGAACCTCCTTCCCCATCCCGCTCCCGGTCGCCTCTGCCAAAATGGAAGAGGTGGTGATCGGAGCATCGAAGTATCGGTGCCGACATCGGCATAGTGTGCTTGGAGGAAACAGAAATCCCTCCTTGCGTTTGCTTGCGACTGTACTTAGAGATGCCAAGTTTCAAGGCACAGTGTACATGTTGCAGCAGCTAGTTCCAGCTAGAAAAGGAGGCTGAGCGGAGGTTTTTGGATGTTGGTGGGAGTGCTGCGTGTGGATAAGACGGTCACAGAGAAATGGAAACAGAGTTTGGAAAGAGGGGGAAGAAGCATTGGGGAACAGTTGAAAATACTTGAGAGTGTGGATGGTGACAACTTGCGAGTGCCGATGTCACGTGGAGGTCGAAAGGTTGTTCACATGTAATCTATTTTCGCCATGGGGGCAGTGGATTTCATCTGGTCTTTTTGTCGCAGTTTTGTGCCACAACACCGTGCTGCCTTTTGCCTTTTGCCAGACTGTTCTGGAATGTACTGGAGAACATGTCAATGCGCACTGCAAGTTGAACAGATATGATCCGATGAAGATTTTCTTGTGTAGCATCCGTCAGCAAAAATCGTCACTTTGACACTAATTTGGAAGCAACGGTAAATTCCGCCGCCTGGAAAATGCCTTCAGAGAATTTGTGAAGAGGCGTTGCCTGTGCAAAATGTAGTGCCTCAGCACGAGTCCCCTTGGTCTTTAGCTTGAGAACTGACGCTATCCTTCGCCGGATGATAGCGTCCTGCGCTCACGATTCAGATGTCCAGCACAAGACCAAGGCGCTTACTGTTTCTGGGATGCACAAAGAACACACGAACTGTTAGGTATTGGATGACCAGAAAGCGCCCGACCCGAGCTGGGTCAAACCTGTGTGGACTCGACGCAGGTTTCCCCGAGCTCGGGTCGGGCACCTTTTAAACGCTTGTGTTTGCCAAGAATCGTTGAAGAAGTTCCGGTCAGTCTTTCTCAGGGCAGCGTTGGCAGACCAGAAGCTGAAAACCACAATGGCGAAGTCTCAAACAATAACGATAGAATCTCATAGAGTAAGTCCATGTAAGTCCAGTATGAATGGGATTGAACAGGATCGAATAGGTATCAATCAATAGGTATGAAGAGGATTTGGATCGAGGAATGACAAAGAGACCTTTGGATCATTTTGGATCTACCTGACGGTATTCAATACCAGTAGTACCGCACAAGGCGGTGGCGGAAGTTTCAAAAATAGGAAACCTATAGGAGAGGTTGGTTGTTGTGAATCAGGGATGGCAAAGTGAATCCACTGATGGACCGAAAGGTGCTTGAGGTCTCCTCTCTGTCTCTCTCGTTCTCTGACTATCTACCTACCTATCTATCTTCTATGTATCTATCTATCTATCTAGCTATCTATCTCTCTCTTTCTCTCTTTCATCTAATTACCTATCTACCTATCTACCTATCTACCTATGTACCTATCGA